TTTAATTATTTTGCCCAGAGAAAAACGTTGGATTATGCAACAGACATGCAACTCATTGTCTCCATGCAGTTAATTAATAAACCATCGGTATCGGCCCTTTTCATGCTATTTCCTATATGCTGGTGGCTTTAAAATAATCAAAAATCGGCCGATAAATATCGGTGGCCGATACATCGGTGCATCCCTACTCTTTATCATAAAATTTTGCATTACTTGAAATAAAATAAACCGTAACTGAAATAAAATGCAATATACAAAACTTTTTTCAGGGCAACATTTCTCATTTTCATTTAGTTTTAACTTGATGTACTAAAATAACTACAACTAAACAGAATTAAAATGAATAAAAGTTATATGGACATATTAAAAAAAAAAAAAAGACCAAAAAACTAAATTACTAGCTGAAATTAAAATAAAAATGGAAAATGGAACATTTAAAATAAATGAAAAAAATGTATAAAAACTATAATAGTATCTGAGCGATACTAAATAACACTGGTGTGTTGCCTGCTATTTGTATAGAGTGCATTAATGCCGCCCACGTTTTCAGTGGCGCTGGTTCTGGAAGCATTTTTTTCTTTTATTTTTCCTACAGGGATTTAAGAAAAGTCTTTGTTAAAGTGCTATAAGCCATGAACCAAACCAATCAGCTACGAGGAGAATCACAACTGTACAAACTTTGATTTGAAGCAATACAATTTTTGAAAATCAGACAAAAAGACAAAGGTACAAGACTGTGTGTTTAACGACTTTGAGGCAAAGAACTACAATCCCATGAAGCATTGTGAATGGCATAATCAAATTAAAAACAATGGAGAAATATAAAACTATCTATTTAAAGTTGTTGATTGTATGTATAGAAACAATATATATTAAGTTGTTTGCAAAATATGCATATTTTAATATTTAAGTGTTTTCGATTGCGTCATTTGTGGTGCTTCATGGAGGGGGCGGAGCTGACTGCGGCTCTCTGATTAGTGGAATTTTCTGTACAGCATCATGGGTAATGTAGTTTTTAACCATATATTTGGCTGTTAAACATGATTATTTAAAACATAAGTTGAAACTGATGGCTTCAACAAAAGCATATACCATCAATTAAAAACCTCAGTGCTCACAGCAAGTCTGTTTTTAAAGGTTTAGGTCTTTGCACACCAAAGTCCAAAATTCTCGCCTGAAAATTTCACACGTTAAAAAATAAACACACGTTTACACACTGCCTCTGAAACTTTCGTCCGTCATAAAAAAATTCGAATCAGGTTCGATTTTTTGCATTTTCGCATCTGTAGTGAGCATTTAGATAGGAAAGGACGACGAATACGAAAAAACGCATATGAAAATTTCGGACTCGGTGTGCAAGGACTTTTATTGTTAAAAATCCTTATGTTAAAAATTTCCCTATGGGTGAAAATAAATGGCATTTTCACTTCCAGAACTGGACTGTTGCGCTGTTTTCTGAACCTATATAGGAAAAATATTACATCAGAGCCGTGGCTTAGTTATAGTGCTCATTCAGGTGATTTGGGTTCGAGTCAGGCTTGCAACATCTCTGAAACCCTTTCTACTTTAACTTCCTGATGTTACTCTACCATTAGTCACTAAAGTGATGATTTTTTTTTTCGCAGTGCTTTAATCTACAGTATAAAAGCTCCAACACGGCATAAAAATGACGACCTCCATAATCCCTCGTACCCTACTATTCATAGTGTATGATTACATGCCAAGAAAATGAGCAACCACATGTTAAGATTTGGGTTGATTTGTCCGTTTGGAGACAGTTTTGTGCGCTGGAGAGAAATGCTCTGAATGCTGTGTCTGTGTCGAGGTGCTGGAGCGTGTGGAGTGGGTGTCTCGCCGCGGGAGCCGGATGTTTCTCTGTGCATGAGCGAGCAGGATCTGTTGGCCATGTTTGAGGGCGGCCTGCGACCGTTCGCAGCCTACAGCAGCGGCAGACTGAGAGTTCAGGGAGATCTGAACACCGCCATGAAGCTGGAGACACTCATCAAACTCCTCAAGACCACATGATGTCATTTATTATAACGCTTTCGTTTGCAGTGGTTTCATTTCAATTTAATCAAAGGACTTTGTAAAATATTGTAGGTGTACACTGTGAATGTTTAATACAGGACTTAAATACATGAATTATGTTATTGTGAATGGATAGAATTTAATTTGCTGCTGTGTCAGTGTTGTTTACTTGTATTATTGTGGAGTGTCGTGACCCAAGCATTTCGATTCATGCATGTACACAATAGATTGTTTTTTCAAAATCTGTTTATGACTGGCTTGTCTTGACATTACAGAAATATGTTTTTCTAATAAATGTATATTTTAATACAGTGAGTCTTGGATTACTGCACACACACATGTAGCAACATCCTTGAGGTGTGTGTTTGTGGGCGATTCGTTGTCTTGTCCAAGGTTGACTGTTTCTCGACCTTTGACCTGCTAATGTTTGCTGCCCTTGGACAACTGGTTATACAGAAAACCACACAAGGTTATTCCACTGTGAGCATCTTTTTTGTTCACTTGAGAAATCAGTACTCTAGTACACACTTATAAAGAGAGAAAAAAGTGGATAATGTTTCCCTCACATTTGTAGTTTGTGTGTGTGTATATATATATATGATTTTCATATTTTTATAGAAATCTCTTATGCTCATGAACACTGTTTAAAAATACAGCAAAAATTGTGAAATATATATAGTGAAATATTATTGCAATTTAAATTAACTTTTCTATTGTAATATATTTTAAAATGTAATTTATTTCTGTGATCAGAGCTGAATTTTCAGCATCATTACTCCAGTCTTCAGTGTCACATGATCCTTCAGAATTCATTCTAATATGCTGATTTGGTGAACAATTATCAATTATTATTGGTGCTTGATTAATGGTTCTTATTATTGTAAGGTCCGCCCACTGGTCCAACGACGGCAGCCAATGGACCCTTTTCACAAGACTGATGACGCGTTTAACGGTCATCAGCATCGTAAATCCTCGAAAGTTTTTCATATTTGTATTTTTAAAAAATGTATCTACATTTATAACACTATTCTTTGTATTATATCACCTTTGCATCAAATGACAAAAAAACAGTTAACGCTAATGCGAGGGTGTTTCTAATGCAGTGTCTTTGGGAGGGACGGTAAATTTGACATCGTTCTCTCTTCTGACAGTTGTTATCAGTTTTTTTCCTTTTATTGAAAGTCATGAAAACACTATCGTGGAGTTTTTCTTTTGCTATTTGAGCAAATGGGAATGCAATAAATATATTTGTGGTACGCTCCCATTCACTGCTCTTCAAGTTAACCCAACTATGACGACTTCCGCTTCTGAGAAACCTGGAAATGTGAAAAAGGTCCATGTTATAGACGCCAGTTATCCAAAATCAAATGATCTTTATCTGGTTTAGGGAGTAGGGTTATTAACCCGTTTCATAGAAGTTTGACAATTCATTTGATTCAATACATTCCTTATACATTTCAAATAAAGGGTTTTCAATAATATCCCAAAAACAGATAAAATTCAACTGAAAAACCATCTGTGCCTGGTGATTTATTTTTTTCATTGAACGAATAGCTGTAACTATCTCTTGCTTCCTTAGTTTTTAATCACAAATGTCTCGAAACTGAATAGATGTAGATGAGACCGATTGCTTAACTGACTCGAAGTCAGAACATTTATCCATTTCAAATACAGATTCATATAACAGAGTAAAAAGATTCCACATCATTTGTAATCAATTTTGGATTCGAAGTGAGTACATCATCAATTTTAAGAGAGATCATTTGTCTTTTATAATTTCGTTTTTCTAGTGAAAAAATCTAGCTTGTGTTCTTTTCCCCCTTTTCCAACCACTTAGCTCTAGAACGAATGAATGTCCCCTTTGCAGTATTAATATATATCTGATCAATTTGACTTTGACAAATTTAATATCTCCAATCTGACTTTTTCATCTTCTGTAAGATTATCTTTTTTCAAAAGTATAAACCTAATTCTGGCATAAGTGCCTTTTCCTTATTCAAATGATTCTTTTTAACTTGTTTACTAAAATATACAGCAGACTGCCTAACTTTAAATTTAAATAACTCCCATTTGTTAACGTGTCATTTGCTTACTCCCAAAAATCTGTTGTGCTTCTTCTCGAACATGGGAAATAAAGCCCTCATTCCTAAGCAACTTGTTATTTCATTTCCAATAGCCTCGCATACTATTTTTTATATCTATTTTTATATTATATTTTTAATATCACAACCAGAGAGTACCAAAACAATCATTTTATGATCCGAAAGAGGTGCGTGGCAATAAGAAACTTCAGTAACATATTGGACATATCCTGGGTCAATCAACCATAAATCGATCCTTGACTGCAAAGATCTAGAGGAGTTACTCCAAGAATAACACTTTTCATTAAAATTAAAGAATCTCCAAATATCCACTATAGAAAGATGGGTACATAGAAAGGTAGTACATTTTAATTTTGAAGAAGGTATCGTATGTTGAGGAAAACGATCTAAGAAATAATCTGGGGCATCATTAAAATCACCGCCCATTATCAAAAAGGCACCTTGATATTTCCCCATCAATACTGATATAGAATGTGTGACCTCTTTAGACATATTTTTAGCTTGGACTGAAGAATTGTGACCATAAAAATGTCCTAAGACAAATACAGAGTTATCCAGTTTAACAACTATAAGTAATCTACCTTCTTTTGAGGTAAGCAATTCCAATAGGTTACGTCACCTTTAAAAGGGTCATATGATGCGATTTAAATTTTTCCTTTCTCTTTGGAGTGTTACAAGCTCTTGGTGCATCAAGAAGATCTGTAAAGTTGCAAAGACTAAAGTCTCAAATCCAAAGAGATATTCTTTATAAAAGTTAAGAGTCAACCACGCCTACCTAAAATGGCTCATTTTAACACGCCCCCACATATCTACATCACTGTGTGGGAAGATTTGCATAACGCCGCCCAAATGTTCACACAAAGAAAGAAGGCATAACTTTGATTCTTGCTGTAGTATTGTTGTTGCCGTGTGTTTCGTTGTGAAAGCGAAACTACTTTGTTTGGTCTTCCAAAAGAGGACGATATCCGCTTCGTCATGCCTGGAGCTGATCCGTGCTGGTCGCTGAGGAAATACTACAACTTTGCGCTGTGGATCGCCGGATTGGCTTTCACCATGGACGAAGTGGAGTCCAGCCCGGGGTCGTCACATGTGGTTGCCACAAGCCCGCCGGCCTCCGCTCACTCAAGCCGCCAGGCTCCGCTCACTCTAGCCGCCAGGCTCCGCTCACTCTAGCCGCCACAGCAACGTAAAAAGACAGTATAAGTCATTATAATCCATAATTATGTCCCCACTGGATGCAACAAATGCCTCGTTTGTAATGGGTTTTATTGGTTTTGTGTGGTCGTGCCGGGAGACGGCATCACAGTATGGTAAGAGGCGTAACATTTCCGTCACACGCTTGAGGTATTCGGCCAATCACAACGCACTGTATAGCTGACCAATCAGAGCACGCCTTGCTTTTTCAGAACGATGAGCTTTGTAAAAATCGACGTGTTTCAGAAAGGCGGGGCATAGAGGAGAAACAATAATGTACAGTATGTGGAAAATAATGTGTTTTTTTTTACCTTAAACCTCATAAACACATTTCATTACACCAAATACACAAAATAATGTTCTTTTTAACAACATCATATGACCCCTTTAAACTTATATAGAAGAATAGCGACACCTGCCGAATGATGTGAAGCATGACAACAGAAGAGTTGATCTCCCCATTGGGATTAACATTTAACATTTAACCACCATTTAACATCAGTTTCGCACGAATGAGTCTCTTGAAAAAAAATAATATTTGCATTTGTACGCCTAACAAAAATAAACATGGACTTCCTTTTAGTGCTGTCTCGTAAACTCCTAACATTAAGAGAAACAATCTTTAAACAACTAAAAACAAAATCAGACATAAAATAATCTTATTTGGATGTCAGAACAATGTTATATAAAGAACCCTGAAACAATGAAATTGACAAACCAGTCGGTGTTGATCCACTCCAAACTTTGAAGAGTCACATCACCTGGACGAATGTTTTATGACCCGAAGACTGAGCACGCTATTTCAGTTCGACTGCCTAGCCAGCATAGTCAATAATAACACCTACTCAGTTAATATTCATCTTGATATTCATGAGCAGACGAAAGTAAGCTCTCTTCCCCTCTTCTCTCACCGCTTCTCTGTTGTCTTTCTGCGAATGTCAGGTCCTCTGCCAGGCGAACACCTCTTTCATTGAGTGCAGGATGATCCCGTGCAGCTTTCCAGACTTTCTCTAGGTCCGGAGCACGAACTGGATGATGACCGGCCTAGGACTGTTGCCACCAGTCCCAGGACGTCCAATCCTGAGGATTGTGTCAACGTAAAATCGGATGTCATTTACCTTTTCCGGAGTCAGAATTTTTAGGATTTCGAGCACTTTGATTCTGATATTCTCTCCTTCTGTTTCTCTAAGGTTGTTTAGCCTCAAATTCCATCTCCTACTGTAGATCTCGGCTTGATCACATTTGCCTTGAACCATCTGACCACCTGCTCAATTCAGTAGCCCCTCACTGCAGAACAAAGATCCAGGGGGCAGGGTTGGATCCACATCTAGGGGGTGGAGATGGGTGGGTTTAGGGATCAGGAGCTGGAAACGGGTAGGTTTAGGTATATGTAAGGTGGGAGGAGTTGGATCTGGATCCAACCTCGCCCCCTGGATCTTGTGTTCTGCAGTGAGGACCATCTCGCTCAATTTGCAACACCTTGTTCTCGTTAGTCTTGACCCTTGCAGATAGCGATTTCATCTCCTCGGCCACAAAATCAGCCATCTTTGAAAGATTTACTATAGCGACCGAGTTCTGGGCGATTTGTTGTTCCATCGCTGAAAAGCGATCCGTGAGGGCATTGACAGCACGAAGTATATCGGCATTAGAGACTTTGGGTTCTTCCTGGCAAGGTTTTTTTTGAAAGAGGACTGACTGTTGGAATATTTGAGGATGAATCAAAGTCTCCATATGCTGCTTCGAGAAGCGAAGAAAGTAACTGTCTGTCTTTGTTCTTTGGCATTTTGGAAAATCCACACGTGGGCTGGCAGTGTGATTTATCAATATATGTCACAGTCTGCTGTTGAGGTTTTTATTAATGAAAAAGTTAAAGCATTCTTCTTTTAAAGAGAGTTCTCACTCCCCACCTTGTACATACAATACAAATTCGCCCAGAAGATGCAAACTCCTCAAAAGCGGCCCAGAGCTCGTACCAACACAACCG